CTTCATGTTGTGGTCAGTGTAAGTGGCCAGTCGTCCTATTCTTGTCTTGGGGTACTTGGCAGCCATCTTGTAGGCTATCTGATAGGGCTTCCCCCCTACATTGATGTTGATCATGTAGTTCCTCTTGGAAGGTGAAATCTGCTTGACGAAGCCGTACAGGGCGTTGTCATCGTCCTCTTCCTCGTACTCAGCGTAAATATCGTAGATGTCTCTGCTCAGGTCCTGCATGGAGTTCCATGTCTTCACGCAGCTTTCCTTGGCTAGTGGGTAAACAACGTCCGAGGGTCTTCGATTAAGATCCGAATCTGTGACTTTGTAGTTGGGGAAGAGACTCTGTCTTCTGTTCCACAAATTGGCCACCTTGCTGGTGCTCCCCATGATGAACCCCCCCAGACTACAGCTCAGACAGAGCACTCAGACCTGCCAGCATTACTAATGTCTAATATCCCCTTTACTTAAGCATGGAGGACATGAGCAGGATGCCTCATGGCCCCATTAATGTTGCTGACTGAGAGGATCCACGTGCTTACAGGACATCTAAATACCATTATCCCCTGCTGAGCTGCCCGGCTGAAATGACGTTGGCCGTGTGGGACATCTCAACAAATGCCCCTCATGAATTCACCCACATTGAATTTATATAGGTTTATATTAATAAAATAGATCATACACATATATTTACTTCTATCACTTTTGAGAGATTCAAACGAAGCTTAAGCAACAATAAATAAACTGTTATGTATATATATATTTGTTTATGAATGTATAATCACTGTGTATCTGCATTAATCTGGTTGAAATCCCCACAGATTACTCAAGGAAGTCATATTAGAAGATACTGATTGGAAAATACCATTGTGGATCCTTCAGTACCCACATGTTGCTTGTGGGAAAAATATGTAAATATATATTTTTTGTAGATTTATTTAAAGATACCTTGTAAATCTTTATTATAATGTATTATATAATATAGCAAAAGTCATTTTTAAGAATGAACTCTCCTCTAGGTTTGTGGGTTGTCATTTGTTGCACTGGTTTCAGATTCCAATACTGCAGGGGAACAAAGGAAGACTGGTGGATACATAAAAGAGGATAAAGGCGTTAAGCATTAGCCTACTTCCTGATTAGAAGAGGGTGCAGACCTGATGGGAGTCTAGGACATAATCTCTTGTTTTTATATCAAACCTATGGAGGGGCATCTGTGAGGTGTCACCACAAGTTACCTTGACTAACAGGTAGTGGTAATCAAACCAGATGGGCTTTTTACTCAAAGTATCTAACATAACATTGCTGGCAATTGAATCCTCTTATTGGATATCAGATTATTGTCCTGCTGATTAACACTGACCAGAGATGAAGTTCTGCATGGACACTGCAGCTGATGACACAATGAACCACGCTGTATATTAACGATTACCTACCTTCAAGACACTGACTGACTATAATTGAAATAATTAAGGATTTAAGTTGTTAAAGCAGACATTTAAATAGGACTAGCAGACTTAAGCTAGTCTCGTTACTGTGGTGTGTCAAAAGAGAGGTGAACTGGATTTTTCAGTCACAGGGTCACACAGCTGAGAAAAATGGAAATGTGCATAAGTATGAAATGACATATGTGTGGCACGGTGGTACAGTGGGTGGATGTCCAAAGACATGCAAATTGGGGTTAAGTTAATTGCTTAAATGAACGTAGGAGAGAATGTGAGAGTGACGTTTTATGTCAGCCCTGCAATACGCTGTTGATCCTTCATGGTGTAACCCACCTCTCACCCAATGACAGCTGGGACTGGCTCCAGCCCCCCCATGGTCCTCAAAGGATCAGCAGTATAGGATGGATGATATATTGTATGATACACTGAATTTGAAAAGCTTCATGTGTTGTAACTCCACAATGAGACTACATAACTTTTGTAAGAGGAAATAACATACGAGGAAAAGTTGGATTCTTAACTTCTGATATGCACCTTTACTCATTTCAATATTGTTGCTGCTACAGTCTGACCTGGTCGGATTTAACTGTGTGACTACTGAGTCACTTTGCTGTCTTTATAGCTCTTATGCTACTCTACTTGTTCTACTGTTAAGGTCAACTGGTCATGGACAGATATTGTCAGGGGCGTTGCAACATGATCGAACCTCCCCTTAAATTCTGTGATCAGCTACAGGAGACTGCAGTGAGACAGTGGTTGGAACCCCCCCTAAAAAGGCCCCATTCAATGAAAACTTTCTGCCAAAAGATTCATCATCTTAAAGACTATGTGATATATGTTGTATGTGTGGATATGATGTGCCTGGGATGGTGGTGGATTATTTTATCTTCGATTTTAAATGAAATTGTATTAATTTGATTCTAATCTTTGATATTTCTTATTCTTGTTTTTATTTGTTGTCTTTGTAAAGCACTTTGTAACAGCTTCACATCATGCAACAGCATTATTATTGTTTTATTATTATAATTTTATATTTGTTGGGGGGCTCGGTTTGACTCGTCATAGGGCCCCACAGGCATTACTCAAGTGTTACTCCAGTTCCTGTAAGTAGGAGGGAGGAAAGAGAAGTAAAATATACAGTTTAAGTGTACATTTTTCTGCTAATGGAAGCAGCACTTATTTTTTCCATACTTGCATTTCACCAGGATTAATATCATCTGCTCTCAAGGTCTGCAGTCAGTCACTATACTGTCCACAAGATTTACGGATCAAATTTTGTACATTCCATTCAAAGCTGCTTAGTAAAACAAGAATGAAGGTTATAATCCCTCCTTTAGGTTTATAAAGCCTCCTGTCGTATAAATTCTCTGTTATTTACAGCTAAACACAGATTGTTCAGTAACAATAAATTCTAGTGTTTAACATGACCTTTGCTGATGTGAGAATGCACTGCTCGGACTTATGTTTTTATGTGTTTTTCAACTAAACTTATTTTACCAAAGGGCAAATATCAGCAAAATAACAGTTTACACACCATACAAACTTAAAAACAACAACACTAGTAAAGGCTAAAGTTTTGCATATGTGATGTGGACAAGTGTGCATATACATTCACATGCACACTTGCCAGTGAGAAATCTAGGAGGATGAAGATCTGAAGATTGATGTGTTAAGTCTTGAATTTCTCAGGATAATCCCCTTCAGTGTATCTTAAAAATAAAAATATTGAAATCTAAAATATAAAGAATCTGCTATTTCTGAAATAGAGGAGCTCATGGGGTGTTGTTGGAGGACCAGCGTTTTGTTTTGGGCAGCATGAAAGGTACTTGCTCAAACTACTCCATATATTGTAATATGATAGATACGAATACAGCCAACACTTTTTGACCACATAAGGGTACAATGGAGTATAATTGAAATCAAAATATGGTGATAATCATGATTATTGATTACATGATAAGCTTGTGAAAAGAGTAATTTGCAACCATGCTGTGAATGTTTCTCCTTACAAATACTGTCTGTTTCAGGGTGTCATCCTGAGATAGTGACCGCCTTCAAGAGAAGCAGCAAGAGTTTTCTGAATATCAGTGGGTTATCTATTGTAATGAACAGATGAATCCAGCAGATGGTGGTATTACACTAATTGCAAGACCAGTCAAACATATCACAATTAATGCTCTGTCCCTGCACTGCTACACTAGATTGTGCTTTTACTGCTGTCAGGCAAAGTGAACTAAGCACTGAATAAATAGTCAGTGATTTAGATAGAGTTATGAGGGTTCTGAGCTAAAGTAGCATTCATACGATTTGCAAACTCACTCTGGTGGAAGCACAGAAGAAGTTGAGCTGATCAGTTACTCCTGCTGATAAACTGTCTTGTGATTAATTTGGCTTTAAAAGAAATTTGTTTCTTTTATCTTCCAAAGCCAAATGATTTCATCCAATTATCAGAAAACTGTGAAAATTCCTTTGATTTTTTCCCACAGCTCAACGTGACCTCTTCAAATGTCTGACCAGTCTACAACACAGATATATTCAGCTCACTGCAATGAGATACAAAAGGAAACATTCCAATTTCTCATCTCATATTCAAATGAAAGGAATATTTTCTGTCATACTAATCAATTAGTTGGCCGATCATTGTTTCACTACAAGACCTTAATTTAAATTGATATATTTTCCACAATGATTTGACGATGACCTTCATTTATGGTTGAATGAAAATGCTGATGTCATTTTTGCCTTATAAAAACATTTTTATCAAGATACCATGTCTACTAGACTGCTCGTGTTTGAGTGTCAAATCATTGATTACATGTGCTGTCTATTTAAATAGGAGTTACACAGGTTTGCTTTTCACCTGCAGCAGAAATGTGGAAACCTGTGGATTTTTCAAAGTAATTTTGCCTTTTGTTTGGCACAACAAAATACTTCATAATTTTGGAAACAACATTTTCTAAGATAATTGTTGTATAATTACACATACATACATATATAATACATAAATACACAGATCCATAGCCAAGAATGTGAACAACATTACTTTAAAAACCTTTGCCAGGTTATTATATCATTATTTTTTTAAACATTATTTAGAAATAGACTACATGTAATTCCAGTCCTCTTTTATAATTTCAGGAGGTGCACCATTGAACACATTTAAACTTCTCATTGTACAGTGAGTAAAAAAGCACAGCATCACCTACCAACAGGAGATAAGCATCACATGTGTCATGCTGCCAAATGCAGTTATATCAAGACAAACTGAATTGAATATATTAGAGAAATTGGAATTGCTGACGTGTAAAGTGGATTAGTTTGACAAGCAGGTGAAGACATTTATTTGACCCCCTGGAGATCCAGCCTTTTGTTCGAGTTGAGAAGCTTTGCCAGTATTTTCTGGTTCTACCACAAAGTTTTGATCGTATCTCTCCACTCCCTCTAACACAGTCCCGATGTCATTTGGAATCTCCTAAAAGCCAATTTTACGGCGGAGCCCTTACTTTGAAAAGCCTAAGCGGAAGCCATTAACGCGGTTCGCCTGGTCTGCTGAGAAAAGGCTGTTTTGAAAAGGAAACCAAGGTTGTTGAGGTGTGTGGAGAACACGGCAGGCTGAAGGTAGGTGTGAATCCACCGTCCCGCGCTCTCTGTCCCTGCCCTGTCTGCGCCTCGTCCTCCGGGCCGCTCTCGTTTAGCACAAGCTCGCTTTAGTGAGCGGAAACCACGATGCGGCCAAGTGTCAAGTCAAGACAACTGGTAAAGTGCAAGGCTAACTAGCTAGCCGGGAGGAAGCTAGCGAGGCTAACGGTGCCGCTGCCCGGTGCACGGGAGCAGCTCGGGGATGCTGCTCGGTGTGTTCGCTGTATTCTGCTGTGGAGGAGGGGAGACACGTTACTGGGGTTTTAGAGGAAAACACATTGTCACTGTTGTGTTGGGTCTAACAAGTGCAGGGGCGAATATTCCCTGTGAATGGCTGCGGGGGGTGGGGGGGTATTATGGCCCCCTGTACATTCACACCAGCACAATGACACTTGGATTCTCCTGCGTGTGAGCCCAATCAAAGATATTAAGAGAAATCTAATGATAAGGTTTTATTACTGTCTTACACCTGCAGCCTGTTGGTGAGCTTGTTTTGATTGAATCGTCTTTA